CTTCTTGCCATCCAAAGGGTGATTTTGTTTTGTTTTATACCTCTATTAAATGGCCAGGAAGATTTGAATTTGGACGTTTTTAGCCAGATGAAGGTAAAAGAATCATGACAATTTGGAATGCTGTAAAAATACATTTTCTGCAGTATTTTATTGAAACAATCACAAAACAAAGTCTCAAAGCTTTTAAGTTTGTCTGTACAGCACATGAGCCAGTGATGGGTTGACAGACGCGTCGCATCTGTACACATTGTTTCTTTGGTGTATTATAACCATCGTTGTTCTACTTTTTCTCCACTTGCATTTGTTTGTACTTATATTTGATAAACTGAAAACTGGACCATGCCCAACATTGTTTTCGGGTGAACCTCTATTAAAGGGCCACCTCTATTAAGTGGCTGATTGTCTTGTCCCCGAGAGTGGCTGCTTAATAGAGTTTCAACTGTATTATCAAAATAATGATATGAAAATATAATGATTCCATTATTCAGTTCAGTTATCTGTGTTTGGATATTTTCTTTAGGTCAATAATAATTGTGCTACAGGATCAAGTGCACTGTATTTGGCCAAGCAGATGGTTGAAGGAGGTAACGTTTAGACAACTGTACACTGTATACAAGTGAATACATGAAATATCATATACATGTAGAGTGTATATATTCACTTGACATGTATTCTTCACCATCTACGGGTATATTATGAACTCACAAAGTGATCAGCTCCCAGTTGGCTTGATTGCTTAATTAGTTGGTAGAGCACTGCATGGGTATCACAGAAGTCATGGGTTTGAATCCCGTTGAAGCCTGAATTTTTTTCAGGCTATAATTTCACAACTGCTTAAGTTGTGTGTATAACTGCGATGATCATCATGTCTTCATGTGCAATGTTTGTTGACCATGGAATTTCTTTAGTACTTTGTTTGGCAAATAACTTTTGCAACAGGCAAACTCAGTTGGCAAAGAGGCAGTAGCCTCCTACTAATTTTATGGCACACCTATCTTTCTTTATTCAGGGAAGATATATTAATTAATTATAATCAATTGATTTTTATATTTATTCTTATAAATTAAGCCAATTTACTTAGCATATAAAATATTAACATTGAGTAATTATTAGCTATTAAGTAATAATCCATCAAATAGTTTCCCTCACACACGAGTGGTCTAGCTATTACATGTCATGATTGTGAGCTTGTGATCGTAATGAATACACATGTATTAGAAGTTTGGAATGGCATGTGCAGAGTCATCACAAAGGTTTGAACGTCTTCTTACAGGTTCCAGGTAACAATAAGCTGTAAATTACAGTTTTGATCTATTAACTGAACTACACCTAAATCACCTTTCAAATTGCTGTTCAGAACACTTGCTATAAACCTCTAATGCATGATATTATCACTTACAGGTGTGTCAGACTGTATTCTAGCTTTGGGGTTTGAGAAAATGCAAAGAGGATCTTTAAGTGGAAAGGTAAAACTTAATATAATATACATGTATCAGTTTAAGATTCTTATTCTTACCTTTAAATCAATTTATGGACTAGCACTATCTTACATTTATCTTGGTGACTTCATAAAAGTCAAGCAAAAGAGCTCAGACTTAACATTACACTCAGATAATAGCCTACAGTACTGCTAGAAGTTCCACGGGTCCACAACATTGTGCCCAATACTTGGCGGGTGGTCTTTTACTTTAATTTGCTGCACCAGCCCTATAGAACAGCCTGCCAGGTGACCTTTGTGTTGTCACGTCACTTAGTGTTTTTAAAAGCAAACTTAAGACATGTTTGTTTTGGTCTACATTTTAAAATTATTTTTAATATTTTTTAATGTATTTAATTTATGTTATTTATTTCCTATTTATTAACAACTTTATATAAAAATTGTTTAAAATTGAATTTTTTCTTATTTATTCTCTAGTGAACTATAAATCGCTACTGATCAGTGTTTGTAAATAGCACCTGTAGTCTATAAAAATTGTTTAATATTATCATTATATAACATGTTATTTACCAGTAGCATTAATTGCTGGTAAACTGATCATCTTTAAGTGCTAAGTAAAAAAAAGGTAACCTTTTGACTAGTTTATTATATCAACAGCAAAGTTTTAATTGTCTCCCTTATAACAATTTGAATGACTTACAACTTATTACCTGATTGTACTTTTTGTGGTAATATTACAGCTGTGCATTAGTACTGTACTGCTGTTTTGAATGGTGCTAATGTTTATGATACTTTTATTGTGTACACTGTAGTATGATGATCGCACTTCACCAATGGATAAACACATGGAAGTTATAATCAACAGACACGGTCTGGCAGCAGCACC